GTCTGTCTGTCTGTCTGTCTGTCTGTCTGTCTGTCTGTCTGTCTGTCTGTCTGTCTGTCTGTCTGTCTGTCTGTCTGTCTGTCTGTCTGTCTGTCTGTCTGTCTCTCCGTCTGTCCGTCTGTCTCTCCGTCCGTCTGTCTGTCTGTCTGTCTGTCTGTCTGTCTGTCCGTCCGTCTGTCTGTCTGTCTGTCTGTCTGTCTGTCTGTCTGTCTGTCTGTCTGTCTGTCTGTCTGTCTGTCTGTCTATGCGTCTTTCTGACAATTGAGACAGGGGTAAACACTATGTCCAACTACCACCACCCCTCCCCCTCCCCCAATATGTACTCATTTATCTGTCTGACTACCAGCCCGTTCATTCTGTCTTTTGAATCTGACTGTGTCAGAGAATGGAGGAATAGGGGGGGGGGAATGACGAGGGAAGAGGGGGGGGGGGGTATCACAGCCTCCTGTGTGTTCTTCTATCCAGTTCATTTAGAAAGTTGCTTTCAATATTGTTGGTATTCAGAATTAAATATTGGGCGTTCTCCTTAGCCATGTCTGTAGATTTGTCAGGTCACACGTATTTACAGTAAAGACATGTCACGACAGCATATTGTCATCTGTTCTGGGTACGTGGCTGTAGACTGCTTTTTTGTCAACTCTGACAGACACCAACAAAATGAAACATGAAGCACGTCTATATGGTAAATTGTCCACTATGCTCGTGTCGGGTTCGCAATCCACTGCATCACTGCTGCCGGTATAATTATGTGTTTATTATGTGTAACTACAATTGTTTTTGGCATGTTATGAGAGGAAATATACTTGAAAACTCAGTGAAATCTGGCAGATGATAGCAGGAGAGCAAGTGGAAACAAAGAGATAAATATTGGATGGCTTTTCTGCGATGCATGAACTTGACAAGCGCACATACTGACTCCTGATTCCGGTGATAGTAAGACGCCAACCGTGACTGTCTCCAGTTATGTGGCACCCAAGCCACCCATACGCCTTACCGTCACCCTCTGGCATGTTAACTCTCTCAACCTAGACAGTTTAGCTGAGAGTAACCTAACAAGTTGTTACTTATATCGGTATAACCTAAAAAGTTATTACTTAACTTGGTATAATCTAGCTAGTTGTTACTAAACTCGATATAACCTAACCAGTTGTTACTTGAACTAGCAGGTGTTCAGGTCTGGAAGAGTTAATAACTCCGTGAAGCACAAGGGCTCGAGCCCAGGATAAGTAGTGTCGTTTTTCTGTAGGAGGGCAAAATGAACATCCTAACCTGCACAGTCCTTTACGACAGCACTAGCCATGCGGGCCTATATCTTCAGCCTCACGATCCCCCCCCCTCCCCTCTCCTTTCCCCCTTCCCTCCGTCTGTCTACATCGCCCTAAAAAGTGAAAAATACAGACAGTAGTGACAGTCAGTGACTAAAGTAGGTAGAAGTAAGCAGAAGTAGGTAGAAGTAAGCAGAAGTAGGTAGAAGTAGGCAGAAGTAGGTAGAAGTAAGCGAAAGTAGGTAGAAGTAGGCAGAAATAGGTAGAAGTATGCAGAAGTAGGTAGAAGTAGGTAGAAGTAGGTAGAAGAACCAATCTGATTGTATTTTAATACAACAAAAATTGAGGACATGTGTAACATATGCAAAAACACTCACTGGAGCCGTCTTGGCACTGATCATAAACTTCTTGTTGCAGATTGTAAAATAAAACTGGAAAAAAAGTGCTAAAAGATGCAAAGCCAATGCGTTTTGATTTAAGTAATTTACCAAATGATTACAGCATTGGGGTTGAAAACAAATTCTATGCACTATTGGCAGTGCAGGAGGATATGACGCCTGATGAGTTAGCTAATGAAGCAAGAACTATAATCGTCTCAACAGCTTAAAACATGATTCCTAGAAAACAACACACACATACACACACAAAGATTTACATTACAACAAAACAAAACACACACAAAAAAAGCAATTCAAGCTGATAGAAGAAAGAAGACATTTCAAACAGACATGGACAGAAATAAATAGTCATGCATATAGGAAAGAAATCTGAAGAGATAGGAAAGAAATCAGAAGAGTTATCAGAGGAGATAAAACCAGTTTCTTATGAATATCTGTAATAGAATAGGAGAACTCCAAATACAAAGAAGAGACGGAGACATGTTTGAAGAAATTAAAACATTTAAAGGCGAATTAATGAATGATAAAAACGGTAACACATTAACAGAAACCAAAGACATATTAGACAGATTGAAAGAATACTGTAAAGAAATGTATGAGGATCTGACAAATTCAGAAATAATTTATGAAGGTGACGAAAAAGAACCCAGAGCCTTTACGATCAGCAACATACAGTCTGAAGAAAGGTGTCACCGGGTTGTGACAAAATACCAACAGAACTACCATGCACTGTGCACGAAGATCTGCAACAGTGGCAGTAGGCTTAAAACGTGGAAAAGAACGATCTATAATCACTTTTCTAAAGAAAAGAAATCTCAAACTACGCTCCAACTACCATACGCATTAAAAAGGTCTGCTAGTAAAATGCTCCCACGAATCATTATGAAGAGGATTGGAAGTAAACTACAATATGAGTTACATGAAGCACAAGCAGGTTTCAGACAGGGTAGAGGAACTAGGGATCACATCTTTAATATGAGAATCATTTTTGAAAAATGTAGAGAATACATCGTAGATCTTCTTGCTTGTTTTATTGATTATAGCAAGGCATTTGATTGTGTCCAACATCAGAAATTGTAGAGTATTACAGAGCAGCTGGTGAAACTTCGGACAGGTTCGAGATGCAAAAGCGAGTTAGTCAGGGAGGCATTCTCTCACCATACCTAGTCAAAGTAATAAAAAAGTAAAGGACCCTTTCCACGCCTTTAGGCTTATAGGGCATATAGGGCTAGACCTATATTTTATAGACCAATCGGCACAAGATGGGTGATGTGGTCAGCATCACGCCGGCCGCCTCTACTTCCCGGGATTACACCCGGTACCCACTCAAGGCTGGGTCGACCTGGCACCATACCTAGAGAGATATAAATTATCAGAGCTATTTACACAATTGTAATGCAGAATCTCGGTTGTATACAAATCAATATAAACATTTTTGCTTCAGTGAGGGACCATTTAGCACCCCTTCGGGTGTATTGAGCCTATTGGGTTAGACCTATATTTTATAGACCAATCGAGCATTGTGTGGGTCAACATCACGCCGGCCACCTTTACTTCACAGGACTCCACCTCGTACCCATTTAAACCTGGGTTGACCTGGGAGCCACGGCTATTTTTATTTATTTTAGTAAAAAATAGCCAACTCCGTCAGGTCTTGAACCAACAACCTTCCGCAAATATAAATATGCCGTTTTAAAAATAGAATTTTGCATAGGTGCCCTGGTCGCCCATTGGCTGGCCGGTAGACGACTTTGTCACCGACGAGACAGTATTTGGCTGTGTCTCCTTTTATCGCATCAACACTGCAAGAGGTTTTTTTTTTTTCTTCCCATAGATACTTAGTGGCGTGCAATGCTGAGCCATTTTATATCGTTCATATAACCTAGTCACAGTTATAACCGAAAGTTTCTTCTTCGGAATGCTGGTTGCACGTGACGATTTTTTTTTTTTTTTTTTTTTTTTTTTTTTTTTTTTTTTTTTTTTTTTGTTTTTTTTTTTTTTTTTTGTTTCCGATCCAATAAAATTGAGACGAAGCTGAATTTCACTAGGAACCGCCAACAGCTTCACATAGTGTCAATATCAACACCAACATGTTACACTGACTAATGCGGACTGTCAGTCATTGCCTCAACAACGTCTCCAATATTACGTCAGTGGCACGAACTGATGATAACTGACAGACAAAATCTCTCTGTCTCTCTCAATGTCTCAGTCCCAGTCTCACTCTGTCTCTTTGCCTCTCTGTCTCTCAACCTCACTTTCAATCTCTCTTTCATTCTCTCTCTCTGTCTCTCCCACTCGTCGTCCCATTTTTATAACCCGGGTTTGTTTGCTGTCTGTCACCAGAATCCCTGATCACTTCAATGTTTTTGTCTTGCCCGATCTATCTGGCCAGACACTAACAGTCCCACGCCAGTCAACTGCTGAAGTCGGATTTGTACACCCAATAGTACATAACACGTACACGCCATTCCATACGTTATCGTCCACCCGCCAACTCTTAGAACAGTTGACAACACAATGCCGTCTAGGACACGAAAAAGAAGAAGGGGAAAAAAGCAATGCAAATTATTTCCACAGCTCATAGTGTCGCACCAAGCATCAACGCAAAAGCCGGGAAATAGAATTTGTGGACTTCCTGTCGAGAAGCTGTGAATTTATATAAACAAACCCTGGCCATAAACAGCTAATTTTTCATAACCTCAACGGCAAACCAGACCATAGCTATATTGTAACAGAAGTCAGAGTTTAAAGTGACAACGGGTTATAATTCAAAGGTTTGCACCGGGGGCCTAAAACCTTGGCGTGGGGGGTGCGGGGAAGCGTCTATATATTTTTAAACTGATTGCATCTGTACTGGTAATGATCAGGATTTTCAGCTTTAACAGTCATGAAAACAATACAGCGTTGGCAGCTTGATGTGGATAGTAATCGCGCTGTGCCTTGTTCAACATCAGACCCCCCCCCCCTCCCCCCCCCCCCAAAAAAAAAAACGGATATCAAGACAATGCAATGTAAACCACAACATCGATATTCGGACACTAAATTGCCAATTTTTGGTGAGTGTTTCTTTTGTCTTTTGCCACTTTGTTTTACGCAGATGTTTTTTCCAAGTTCGTGTTAACAGTGCCTGGGTTTTGGTTTTGTTTTTTCCATTTTTTTGTTGTTTTTTTTTTTTTTTTTTTTGTTAGGGGTGAGAGATGGGCGGAAGAGCTCTTGTCACATACTCAAGATGGCGTCACCTGAAAAATATTAGAGACTTACTGGTTGACAGCATAAATCCGATGGAAACGAGAGATCTGGCTATTTCTTTTGGAGACGAATCACTTGAATTGACTCACTGCCTCGTGAGTTTCTTTTTTATACAAGTGGAGTTGTGTATCTGTTCCATTCTCTCTGTGGGTACCTTGTGAATGGTGACAAAGCCGCCGGTTTTGATCTTGCAGTTGTCCTCGTTAGGAGCCGCTGTGTTGTCGAAGCGAGGCAACAAGATGGTGTTGTACCCAAGAGCTTTCAGACACATTCCCATGTAGACGTCTTCTAGGTGAAAGTATGGCACCTGGTGAGGGACATCAATACAGGTTTTCCTCATTAATGTTTAACATTAGCGTGAGAATTATGCATGGCTAGTAAAGGACCCTTTTAGCGCCAAACTCGAGTCAGACACATGATGCTAGACTCGTTTTAATGGACTCACTGCCACTCTAGGGTGATGTCCTCAGCCTCACGCTGATCATCTTTACCTCCCGTGACATTATCTGGTAACCTTTTGAAACTAGGTCGACCTTGAAATCATAGTTTTACTATTATTATGGTAATGAGGTGCAAATAAATATAGAAGTATACTTCAAATAATATGATATGTATAAACAAATACTTTTAGAGAGAATTTTTTACACTGGAACCTAGCTTAACGAGCTTAATTCGTTCCAGAATCATACTCGTTAAGCGAAACTCGTTATGCGAAACAATTTTTCTCATATAAATTAATGTAAAATACGATAATGCGTTCCATGTCGAAAAAAATACTCACAGAAGGCTATGTATAAGTTATACTATAACATTTATTCAAAGAAAATTATATACATATTTAAGGAGAGTGAATTATCTTCATCTTTTCTTCAAACGCGGAACGAACCCACATGGAATGCGAATTCGATTTGCAGAAAAAAAAAGTCGAAATAATTATGATACATAGCTAATTTTTTTTTTTTACTAGAAAGATGTCCAGAGACATTTGTTTTTGTCGACGCTTCAAAATTTGGCGAAAATGCGACACAGCATTACCACTAAATTTGCAGCGCGCATAGCCACTTCCTTATTAGGGTAATCTGGTAGTCTGGTAATCTGGTAATCCTAGTTTCAGCATCATAGCAAACGGGTCACCCCATTGTTGCTCCGCTCCTGTGCCAACGAAAAACACTCGTAGCTCACAGTGTCACACCATGCACTCAACTCAGAAGCTGGGTGACGATACCATATCCTTCCAGTCTACAAATGGAGCATAAATGCAACGGCCGTGCCTAGCGTCCACTGTGACTTGAAGCATTATGTGAGGGGTTAACAAATGGTCACCCCAGCAGTACCCTCACTATTAGCTGGGAAAGGGACTTAGGACATTACATCCACCAGCAGGCGTCGCCCCTACAACGACCTGACTGCCTTCGTTAACGACTGTTCACCCAACAGCCATGCAGTTCTTTGGCACGAAGGAGACACCTTGAACTTGGGTTTCGGAATGCCGACTTCCTACAAAATGTTATTTTGTGTTTTGTTATCACAATCGACGTCACTGCACATTGGGCATACCCATGCGTGCGCAGTCCTCCGAAGCAGCAGCCACTCCAAAGTACTTCTACTAATTGTCCCCATGAGAAGCTGGTTATATTGTCTCCTTTCTCGGCCTCGCAGACGGCAAAGACGTGCTTCACCATGCTTAACTCCCATGTCACGCAATCGTGTTAGTGTCAGGGATTCGATATTATCCACTAGCCCAGTACGTACAGCGTTAACGATATCTGCTCTGTCCATGCTTTTTCCCGCAATCATTAGTGCTGTGCTTGCCAGTTGGTCCGCTCGCTCATTTCCCTTTACGCCCGCATGACCCGGTGTGTAGATCCAGGTTACGGAAGTTAAGTGCGATTTCCGAATGCTTTCTATCCATTCAGAGCGCATACTGCCAGTTGCTATTTTCTGAAGCATATTCATTGAGTCTGAGACAATTACTGCTTGTGTGGCGGTTTGCTCGGATACCCATGCTAAAGCTCTAGAAGCAGCGGCTATTTCCATGGTCATGCTTGACGTGGTTGTCTGGTAAGCGCCGCTATCTTCATGTATTGTTTTCCCCCTTCTTTGCGCTGTGTATGCCCATGCTGACCTTGATCCGCGTTTCACGGACCCATCTGTGTAGATGATGATATCTTCTGGGTCTGAATGCTGATCTATCAGTTCCCTTACTTTTGTGTCTATGGCCGCAGGAATCTGATCCCGACAGTACCTTCCTAGTGTGATGACAACCTTAGAGATGCCATGCATGTCTACTGGTGTATTCATCCATTCTTTATTAGGGTAATGCTTCTCAATGTGAGTGACGAGTGCGAATGTTCGCTTGATACACCGCACACTTGCCAAGTATCCATGGTATGCTGAATAGTGTTACAGTAACAAGTCACCATTCCCGCCCAACAGCAATAAAGGACGCCGGATACATGTTGAACGTCAAAAACAGAATTAATGTATTTCTAATTCCAACACCAAAACAATGAAAGGCATCACGAGAATAAAACGTTACACCGCCACAGTCATTCCTACTGGCAAGGCAACACACACTACGGACGCTCTGGGCTACTTCTACTGCCACCCCGTCCCGTGGTCAACTACGAGCAAACATTACCTGCTCGTGCAAACTCACTGCTCGTGATTATGTGTCTACCTCTATGACACCCATCCCTTGGGTACACTGTCATAGAAGAATCATACAGGCCGATGTACAGTACATTGTGAAACTTGTCCAGACCTTCCGTCTGCGGCCTGACACGTAATTGAGATCTAAATAATCTCACCACACGAGCGACTGTCACGCTGGCGCGGCCACTGTAACAACACTCACAGACAGCCGTACACCTTCCGCCAGCGTAACACAGCTATGCAGGACCAGCCTGGAACCATCCAGACTAGAACAGGCCTTCTACACAGCGTCGTAGAGTCCACCGTTACTCACTCTCTCTCTCCCTTCATTCCGTTCAATGTGTGCTGCACCGCACCAAGTTTTACGTTCAATAATGAACTTCCCTTCCCATATATTGCACACAACAGTGAGAAGCAACAGTTTCCCATGCTTTCAGCATTTTTCTTATTTCGCCAGAAGATTGTTGCTTTTCTGTTACCTCCTACTCATCTGACAAACTTTCCTCCAAAACTTCTTGCTGTGAAACACAATGCAACTCCATAAACTCTCCGATGGTCAGCTCTTGGCTGTGCTCTTCCTCAAGCTCTTCGATATCACTGTTATCCACCTACAATCCCATGATAGTGGTCAAAGACACAATCTCGTTGACTACAGGTTCCACAGGTACTGTCTCGAACCCCTCAAAGTCACAAATCGACAACACTCTCCGGCCAAAGCTTCCTCCAAGAAGAAGTTATGGTTCTCTTGGTAACCCCTTCCCCCGCCTTGTAGTTCATCTTGAGGCAGGCAACGATGTGGAAGTGATGTTTCCAAAACTCTTTGAGAGTTAGGTTGGTCCCTTCAGTCACCTGAAAACAATGCTTGAAAAGTGCTTTAGTGTAGAGCTTCTTAAAGTTAGAAATAACTTGCTGGTCCATTGGCTGGAGTAACGGAGTGGTGTTGGAAGGCAGAAACTGGATCTTGATTACCTTAAATTCATCAGGGAGGTCATCTTGTAGGCCTGGAGGATTCATGTACATATATTTCAATATAACACAAGTTTGAGACAATGTGTGTTCACAAGCGACAATGCTTCTGGAACGAGTGCTAAACACTGATGTAACATGCTCAAAATCAGGGACTTCCCCTCTCCTCCCCATTCAATATGCGAAACGTCGCTCGTTAAGCGAGTCATTCTTTTACAATTTGTTTTGCTCGTTATGCAAATTACTCGTTATGAGAGGTGCTCGTTAAGCGAGATTCTACTGTATATGGTTGAACACGGTCTCTTGGTCTCATCACACAGTTACTGGTATGGGGGAAGAGGGAGGGAGGAGCTGGTTGTCTGCTATAAAACTGGGAGGGAGCTGATAGGGCCTGAACTCCTAGGCTCCAGTGTCAGTGATGCAAAGCATGCCCTAGAGCGTCACAGCCATGGGCGGTACTCAAAGAATGTCCTAGAGCGTCACTGCCATGGACGGTACTCAAAGCATGTCCAAAAGCGTCACAGCCATGGACGGTACTCAAAGAATGTCCTAAAGCGTTACAGCCATGAGCAGTATTTAATTTCACAATTTCACGATGGGCTGAAAAATAATTTTCACCTAAGTTTTCTAACTCCTTCAATGAGGTTGGTTTATTTTCTCTTAAAAAGGTTGACATAGATTTAGGTAAAGATTCCAACATTTTGTTCCTTAATAATAAATCTACTAATAATTTATAATTATCTCTAACATTGGCCGAATCAATCCATTTATCAAAAATATTCTGAACTTCCGAAAAATAGTCAGTGAACGTCTGATCAGACTTTGGCTTTAAATCCAGAAACTTTTTCCTATACCCTGCTTCATGTAGGTCATAGTGTCGCTTGATGCGATCTTTAATATAGTCAAAGTCTAATCTTAGATGTTCAGGGACTGTTTCTAAGATCTTCAATGGTTCAAATGCTAAATGTTTTTGAAAAATAATGGCCCACTGGTCTTTTGGAACATCATGAAAGCGCATTTGCAAAAAAAGAAAGCTAGATATATAACTACCAATGTCATCCTTTTCAGAGAAATTTCTGACTATACCTGCACACTTTTTGAATTTATTTTCTTCTTCTTTTAATCTTTCTTTTTGGATAGCAGCTTCTCTTCTGGAATCATTTTCCATTTCTTTAGTTCTGATTTGTGCCTCTGCCTTTTCTTTTTCAGTCTGAATTGACGCAGCTATCTTCTCACGTTCTAACTGTGCATTTGTTTGTATTTCCATCTCTTTCAAATTTTTATCTTGTTCAAGTTGTTTATTTCTCATCTCCATTTCCTGTTTTTTCAATTCCATCTCTTGTGTCTTCATATCTAGTTCGTGTGCTCGTAACAATCTCCGTTCTTCTCTTAAATCGTCTTGTATTTTCTTTTCCTTTTCATCACAAAACTTTCTAAGTTCTTCCCCTTCTAAATTCAATTCTTTGCCCAGCTTGATCTGCTCTGCCAAGTTAGACATTTTTATGTCTTTACAATGTAAACAACAATAAAGTTACAATACCTTACTTACAAATTACCCACCCTGAAAGAACAATATAAGTTCAATATAATGAACTAGTAACTTGAATTAATAACTAAATGTCCCTGGGTATCAATACTATACCTTAAAATAAAGTGGATGTAACTCTTCCAACCACCAAGCCTATA